AGAGGGTCACTTGGTGTATCCGCTACCTGGCAAGAAGCTGCCTGGCAGGAGGAAGCAGCTAGTACCCGGTACAGGTCTCGAACGACAGAAGCGCTAGCGCGTTTTTGACCACCCCGCCATCCGAAGCTGAATCACGACGGTACAAGGCAGAAAACGCCTTGGGAACCAGCCGACCCCCCGCTATCATGCATCCATGAACCACGGTGACAGGAGCTGTTGGTCAAATCAGGGCGCAGGACTTGCCGCACTCTGTCCTCCACCGTCTTAGTCTGTTGACGCTGCTGAAGATCCTTATCCATGAAGCAAGCTTGCAGACACAAGGCTATGGAAACACGGAGCTAGGCATTCTTCAGCGGGCCAACACACAAAGTCTCGATCTGAAGACACAGTCTAAGAAAAGTGCGTGCCAGGTCGTGTAGGGCGGCGAGCCAAGGCCCCCCCGATGGCAGACACCGGAAATCAGCAGAACCCTTTGGACGGGTTAGACAAACGTCTACCTGAGAATTGCGTCGAATACCTGCTGTTCCTCGTCGACCAAAATTCGACTGACCGCCGCAAGGAGCTTTCAAAGCTTGAAGACGTTCGAAAAAATGCCCTGGCGTCAGCCAAAGACGTGGCAAGCGACTACATATGGCAACGAGGAGAATTCAGCCTTGAGGTGAAAAGTGACCAGGGTAAGGCATTGCGTCTGTCCGTCCCTGCAGTCCCCCATGGCTAACGCCGCCTCCAGGACTCGCCTATGTCCACGGCATCACGGATTACGGCGACTCTGTGGAAGATGAGTGGCTCATTGTCTTCCTGTTGAGGAAACTGAGTCTCGCCAACCCAAATCTCTGGATACGCATATTTGACAGCGACGGGGAGTTCCTCCTCATCGAAGCAGCCAATGTACTCCCAGCATGGCTCAACCCCGAGATGGATCGCAACCGCGCATGGCTGCACCAGGGAAAACTCCACATCATCCCCCTGAACGACAAGGGAAGCAACAAGATCCTCTCGCTACCGGATGCCCTGGCCCTCATCCGATCGAGCCCAAAGAGTCTCGTCCAGTCCGACCTCATCGATGCCGAAGCCTTCTACCGGCTCGAAAAGTATCCGGAGCAGATCGCCAATTCGCTCCACCACTCGCTCGTCACGATCCCGCGCAAGCTGGCCCTCGTCCTCCACGAAGCGCCCAAGGCCATGGCGCCCGCCGTCGAGGCCTTCTACCTACGTGACCCCATCGCCCTGCAACCCTTCCTCTCGTCATCCGCCGACCTCCACTTCCCGCCGCAAGACCTCGTCACCGTCAGCGCAACCTTCACGCGCGTCCTCTTCGCCCAGCTCCGCTCCCAGCGCTTCGACCTCCCGCAGCCGTGGGCGGACTTCGTCCAAAAGGCCCCCGACGACCAGGCCCGGCGCCGCCTCGAGACGGGCGCCAAGCTCGCCTGCGGCTTCGACATGATGGTCAAGCGCCTCGACAGGACAGACCTGCGCGCCGCGCGCGAGGTCGGCATCCTCCTCGACGATCTGCGCGAGGACGGCGACGCGGCGCTGCCGACGGACGACGAGATCAAGGCGTGGACCGACGCGGGCCGCGACGACGACGACGCCTGGCTCGACATCAACTACGAGGACTTTGAGCGTGAGCTCGACGGGAAGAGCGGCGGCGGCGGCAACAGCAACGGCCGTAAGCAGGACGGGGCCGCCAAGTCGGGCTTTGGCGACGCCACCGCCCAAGCGGACCTGCGGAAGCTCGTGTCGCGATTTGAGTCGTTCCTCAACGACGACGCTGCGGGCGTCGACGGCGCCGGAGACGACGACGATGACGAGATGGACCGCGACAACGACACGGACAGCCTGGGCTCGTGGGACGACGACAGCGAGGACGAGGACAAGGCGGTGAGCTTTGACGAGGAGGCGTTTGCCCGCATGATGAGAGAGATGATGGGCCTCCCGTCGACGACGGGGGCCGAGGGGCCGCCGGCAGGCGTCCCCAGCAGCAGCAGCACCACCACGTCACGAAAAACGGCAACGATCGACCAAGACGACCAGGGCATCCGAGACCTGGCAGCGCAGTTTGAGGCGGAACTGAACGAACACGGGGCGCTCAAGCTGGACCCCACCCCCGACAAGAAGCTGGCGGCGCTAAAGGGAAAGGGGAAAGAAGAGGCGACACGGCTACGACCACGGCCGCCGCGGCAGGACGAGGAGGCGGAGGCGCCCGGGAGCGACGAGGACGAGAGCACGGACGGCGAGATGGACATTGACTACAATCTCGCCAAGAACCTGCTGGAGAGTTTTAAGGGGCAAGCCGGCATGGCCGGGCCTGCGGGCAACATGTTGGGCATGATGGGCATGCAGCTGCCGCGCGACGAAGACTTTGGCGATGATGATGTTAGTCATGCTGCCGGTGCGAAGAAGGCAGAAAAGTGAGAATAGGAGTCATCTAATCACAATTTTCGTCATGCTACCTAGACTACTCTGCGTCTCATCCTATCGCTTCCTCTATAAGTCCTTTCATTGATTTAAGAAATAAGTATCCGTGCCCCCTTTTTCTTGATCGAGCATTCATCTCTCGCTGGGGGCAGGTCATCAGAATAGGGGTAAAATGTCAAGGCTCGTCATGTCATCGCTCGGCTGCACTGCACATCACGCATCTTCCGGCCCCTCGCTCTTCGCCCTCTTCGCTGGGCTCATCTCACCGCTGCGTTTCCTCCGCAGCGTGGGCTTTGGCTCGCCAATCGCCTCAAGTCTCGTCAGTGTATCATTGAGCCTCTTCCTCGCCGCGAGCTCGTGCCGGCTGCTATCTTTGCGCGGGCGGTAGAACTCCCTGACCACCTGGGTGATGTTGTGGTAACAGTCGTACAGCAGCAGCCTGACGTGGGCGTTGGCCTTGTCCTCGATGAGGACAGAATCGAACTTGCTCTGCGGTTCATTGCTTTCGCCTTCTGCTTTGTGCCCGGCGGCCGCGTCGTTGAAACCCCTGAGGAACTCGTCGGTCGTGTCTCGGCTGAAGACGGTCGCGAATAGGGGGTCGCCAAAGATGAAGTGGCTCCAGTCCTTCATACCGGTCATTGTGATATCGTGTGGCGCCTCAAGCGCCGTCTTGTCTTCTTCTTCTGCCTGCTCGTCGTCCTCTCCAGCCTGTGAAGATCCAGTCTCCGTCTTTCTGTCTTCCTCGTCTTCGCTGTCATCGTCGTCATCGTCTGTGGCTGGAGTTCCGTGCCTCGCCTTGCGCAGCACAAGTGTGTTTACGTTGTCTCCGGCATCAACGGCAACTAGCCTCGAGCACGTAACCCCCTCGAGAACGTGAGCCAGCCGCCTGTACTGTCGTCGAACGTTGGCATAGGCGAGCATAACAGCCATGTCCTCTCCGTCTCGCAACACAGCCTCGAGCATCGAGTGGAAAGCTGTAGCCCACGTCTCGACGCCCTTGGACTGGATCATGCGGGCATTGGCGTCTCGCCTGGCCGAGGGCGTCGAGGCTCCGGAGTGCGAAGGTGTGAGTGTCGGCAGGACGGCAAAGGCAGGACCGAAGCGTCCCGTGGGCGACACGAGCTCCGACACCCTCCGGCAGAAGCGTCCCGTCTGTAGATCGACAAGCTTGCGTTCTGATGGGTTCAGGGGCGGGCTCAAGTCTGCTATCGGCTTGCCTTGCGTGGGTCTTGTGACATTGTACTCGATCCTGTGTTCGTTCGAGCCGGCCGAGTGTAGGAGGAGCTGCGGCAGGAAAGTTGCCAGGCGCGTACTGGCGGAGTGGTCGTCTGAGGAACTATTGCTTGGAGTTCGGACATGTTTACCGTCCCGAGACAGAACAACACGGGTCTCTTCTGGCTCAGGCGTCCTCTCTTGGAGAAGGGGCTTCTTGACATGGAGCCCGGCTAGCCACTTGAGAACGGCAGCTTCGGAGCTAATGGATCCTTGCTCAGAACGCAGCAGTCTGGCCATGGGCATGGCGGGGAGGGCTATGGCGAGGTTCGTGCCGTTCGTACACTCAACGTCGTAGAGCCTCTGTGAGCGTAAAGACGAGACGGGCTGGACATGTTGGACGGTGACGTCGGGGACGGCACGGCTTATAACAGCCTGCATGGACCTGGTGGGCAGTGTTACGCACATGGGACGTTCTGTGGTCTCCGTATGGTGGCCCCAAGGGTTCTCTCCTCCGTGTGGCACAGAGAGAAAGACTGGATGTGGGAGAGAGTGACTGCCCTTCTCAAAGAGCCTTGTTCCGCGAGCTGGACGGCAGATTGCAGATCTGCGGAACGTCTTGCGAGGCGTTTACTGGGTCGTAAGGGGCCCAGTTGAAGTAGTTGTTACTGTGGCTGTAGTGGGAGGCTGTCGGGCTGAGTCGTACACACCAGATGTGGGTTGACGATGTATCTGATTAGTGTACGAATATGGGCAAGAAGAGACCCTTGGTTCCTGATGCGAGATGCGAGTGAAGTTGAAGGAGAGTCGGCTGAGATGGAGGGTTGCCAGTGTTTAGATGATATGAGGGTGTGTATTATAATATGGGGGATGAGAAGAAAGGGGGAGAGTTTGTCTGTTGGCTGCTTGTAGTAGTGTGTCTGCAACAGACAAGCAAGGAGGCCACTACCAGTGCAGGCATGAGGCGAAAGAGAGACGCTGGCTGTCCGTGGAATGAGCCGCAAGCGAGTGGACAGAGTCCGATGCAGCCAGGTTGCAGGCAAGCAGGTTGCGTCGAGCGGGTTCCGTCGTTCAAGTCCGGGATGGTAAGAGCCGAGCGAAGGATAGGATCAGTACCCAAGAGGTACAACTGCGGGATTGGCGTTGATGACAGGACCAGGGGTGAGACAGGGTGATGGACCAGGGGGGGGAGTGGGCATGAAAAGCGAGTTGCAGGACGTTGCAGGAAGAGTAGCAGGAGTAGGAGTAGGAGGATCCGGTTACCGGAACGCTGCTATTTGTCGACGAAGACGAAAGGTGAGCCGAGAGAAAGGGAGGGGGCCTTATGGCCAACTTTGTGCGTTGTGGCGGCCTGGTAGTTTTGGCGATCAAAGGCAGAAACGGTGATAGGAGACGAGGCGAGACATGGCAGAGGGCTGAAAGGAGTGGTGGTGAAGCGAGAGGCCTGCTCGCTGCGCAGCCTTGAGCAAGCGAATAGACGAGCAAGCGAGCCTCGAAGCCTCAAAGCTTGCGCTTGGTTGGCAACGAGAGAGTGGATGAGAGAGAGAGAGTGTGTGTGTAAGAGTGAGAGCCATGTCGACAAGACAAGCAACGCGCCTGGCGATCCAGCGATCCAGCGATCCACTGGGCGTCTCGGGTGCACAGTAGTACGGTTCCTGTTCGCTTAATGGGACGCCCAAAACGCCAAAGCCTACACCGCGAGAATGAGTTTGGGACGATTAGATGGACGTGGACCCAAGTGACCGGGCGGGTGACCCGTTGGGGCTGTCATGGTCGTTGCATAGCTAATAATGACACACAAGGTAGGTACCAACCAGCACGAGCACGAGCACAAGCGTCAACCCACATCCAGGATCCAAGCCGGAGGACTGCGCTAGAGAGAAAGTGGGCATGTGAGACGAGTAGGTCAGATGCCCGCTAGAGGCCCAGGCACTCACTGGGCAAGATGGGAATGTATGAACAAGGGAGAAACAATATCGATACTTGCCAAAGCCACGCCGCTGCGTAATCCGAAAATCGCTTCTGCTCCGACCCGTTCCGGGGTTAGAGAGTTGCAAGGCCAGGTCCTCGGTGAGGGCGTTTCCTCCTCGACCTACCCTTCGTAGCTCCGTTCGTAGTTCCGAAAGATGCGCCCCCCCCCTGGAGATATCCTGCAGTCGTCTCCGGCAGACATAGCCCGGAAGGGTGCGGGCGCGCGTGCGTACGTGGCTAGAGATTGCACGAATGCGAATAGGGCCAGGGCCTCGTCATGGAGAGCGAGAGGGAGAAAGAGCCAAAGAGCAAGGGACCTGGTTCGGACATGAGCGTTTGAGGGTCTCTGACATGGGGTGCCGACCATGCTCATGCGAAGGAAGCTGCGTATGCATCCAATGCGACTCGCATGACAGCGCAGAAACAAGATCCGCCCGACTGTTTGTTTACACGGAGCGATCCAAAGCCATCTTCGTCCTTTTCGCCCAAGGAGCAAAGAGGGAGGGAAAAGTAGGCATGCGAAGAGATTGGATAGACAGTGCGTGCCAACTCGTTCGGTTCAAGGTCCGGTCAACCAAGCTCTAGCATTGGTCGGATTTTTGTGTGTGTATTGCTTCTCTTTTCCACACAGTCTGGCCACTGGATTTCTGGGTCCAATCCAAAGCCGGATGGCGGAGGGCCACCTTGTAGCTGGGGGAGCTGGGAACTGATGAGGTTGAGCTGAAGGGAACGAGACCCAAATCAAGAGTTGGCGTTGAGAAAACGTACCTGGCTAGAGATGACAGTGGACGTGCCCATTGGCTGATGCTCTGGGTGGAAAATTGGGGATCGAAGGTCCCAGGAGCATGGGGAAGCGAGCCGGAGATTTGGTGATTGGTCGACAGCAAGCGAGCCAAAGCCTCCCCCCCCGTCGTGGAGGGTCCTACCTCTCGAATGATTGGTTCACCTTGTCCCTTTGAACGATGCACTCTAAAGATTGGGGGGGAGTGAGGAAGGGGTGGGGGGGGGTGGATGAGGGGAGAGCGACCAGCACTTTGACGCTTCATGTGAGAAGCTGCTTCCTGTGGAAAAGAAAAAGAAGACCAAAAACCAGCCCCCCCAACATCCACAGGTACCGAGTAAGCTTCTCAGTGGGGGTGAATGTAGGCAGGAGCAACGTAGTGTTCGGTCCTACGTCGGTGCTTCTTCTCCACGTCAGTACCTCTTTCCTCACTACCTACTACGAGAAGCTAGGTACCGTGGAAGGAAGGACATGACCGCCGAAAGCAGCCATATCAACTACCTTCGGTAGGTACCTACCTAGGTAGGCACGGCAGCTCGACCAGTGTCCTTGTCCTAATCCTACGAGACCCAAATCCCAAAGCGGCCATGCTGTAGGTCTTTCCCCTTCTTGAGAAACGAACATGTTCATCACTTGGAGCTCACTCGAAAGATGTGCCGCCCGCCTGGTGCCATGGCCACGTCCTGGCTGCCTCGACTTGGAGTTGAGCCTCCAGCTCCTCCTACTGGCGCTACAAATCTCCCAGCGACGTCTAACTCGTGTCTCAAGGGGAGATAAGTCACACTCGCACGCAGACGCGGCAACAAGGCAACAAGGCAAAGAGGTGGCGTGACACTCAGGCAGATGTCTCTGCCCTGCACTTTGGAACTTCGCTAGAACGTCTGGAAGGAACCGTGCCGAGAGGGTCCTCTCTCCGACCCTCCTCAGACCCTCTGCTCGTCAAAATTGTCGCAATAGGGCTTAGCGTGGCCGCCCGGAGCAAGCGTCATTTTAGCCTGATCGACCAAGGGTGCACGCCAACCGAGACCAGGGCCACCACCACTGTCACAAGCACAAGTGAGAGGGGGGCAGAGGTAGAGGCAAAAGCCGTCATTAGGTTTGGCCCTCGTTGCCCTTTTCCTCACCCCCGCTGCGAAAATTCAAGGCCCGTCTCGGAGCCGGACGGGGGGACCAGCATCTAAAGCCGACAAATTTCGATGAGTGGGGGATCAGGGTGAGACCATCGGGAGAGGCTAAGCTGCCAAATATGACGCCCCAAGAAGCAAAATGTTGTAGCTGGCCTGTGCCTCGAGGGAATGATGACTGATGCTGATGCTCGATATGTCGCCCGCCACGTTACCGCCGCTGATGACAGGCCGACCACCCGCATACCATCCGTCTCCCACACCGAGAGCCTCAATTGGCATCTGTCTAGATGCAAGGGCTCGCGTTCCGGCCTGGGCAATCATCCAACTCCTCCGACTCCCATAATTCTTCCAGCTGCGCGCTGACGGCACGTTACCCATTGCTGGCGGATGCCCGACCTGCATCCTGGCCGTGGAGCGGTCTCGCCCACCCCCGAGGATCAGAGCTGACCGACGCGAAGGCTTGCACTGGCTCGCACACTTCCCAAGGCCTAGCCCATCCATCAATCACGAGCTCGCTTTCGCCTCCTCGTCGTGCGTCTCATTTACAACCACGGGCGCCGGCGCGTCTGAAGACGCAGCCACAGCATCAGCCTCAGCCGCCTTGTTGCCTCCCTTGGGCTTCGCTACTGCCTTGTGAAGCTCGTTGATGTTGTAGCGCTTGAGCTCCTCCCACTCCTTTCCATCGACGACGCTCATGCCGCAGAAGTTCTGATGGGGTCGCCATCAACGTCAGCTGTCATATCCACGAGACGGTAGACTAGGGGGGGGGGCGATGCGAAAAGGGTGGTCACGCGGGAACTGTACCTTGTAAACATCAATAAGGATGACCTTGTCTGGATTATCCAGGTTGACCTTGTGTTGCTTGCCAATCAAGCCCGCCACCTGATCAATGACCTCGTTGCGCTTGATGTCGCTGTTGGCACGGATCGAAGGCCTGATCGCGTACTGTCACACACCACCACCTTTAGCATACACTCTTCGTCAAATAGTTCACGTAGGAGAATCTTGACATCTTTCAAGCCAGACCTCGCTTGACATACCGTGTAAGGCGCCTGACCCTCGCCAGCAGCGTCCTTCTGCGCGTCCTCGCTCGCATCCTCCGCCTTGACGCCCTGGAACCACGGTGCGAGCGCCTGCCTGGCCACTTTGTCCACACCGCTGGCCACCTTGCCCGTCACGGCTACGGGTGTCAAGCGGTGATGTACCTGGTCTTCCTCTCCATGACGGTGGCGCACCCCTTGGCATCCGTGCACATGCGCCGACACAACGCGACAGGGTCGACGGGCTCCCGCGTTTTGAGGAAGAAGACGCACTCAATGTCGGCACGCACAATGGCGAACGCCCCCTTGGGCTTGGGCTCCTGAGACTTGAAACCCTCCATCTCCTTGCGGATCGACGCCTCAATGTCGTCCTCGTCGTCTTCCCCGGGCACCGCCGCCTCGTCCGCAGGAGGTGCAATCCCGTACATCGTCTCGCCGAGCTGTACGACACGTCAGCACGCAGCCCAGGAGTGCAAAGGGGCGGGACGGCAGCAGGGCGAAGGGCATCACCAGACTGTCTCGCAGCGATGAAGAAGGAAAAAAACACCAACCTCGTTGCAGAGCTTCTCAAACTCGACAATCGCCTTGCGGTCCATGCCCCGGACAAATGTCACCCAGATACCCTGCCCTCCGGCCTCGAGATGCGCATCCTTCTCACTCAGCTTGGCCAGGTTCAACTTGTGCGCCGTCGTCTGCCAGGCCCCCGCGTTGCCGCCCTGTCACCGTCAGTGCTGCGTTCCGAACCAATATCTACAAAGAACGAAAAAGAGGCGCATGGTGCTCCGGCTGGGAAGCCAGCGCCTTGTTCAGAGAGTGAGGGGCCTACCTTGCTCTTCTTAAAGGGCCTATCTCCACCGCCGCCTTGGCCGCCCTGTTTCCTCTTGGGAGCATCCGACATTGTCGCTTTCGTGAAAGTGAACCTTTGGTCTTCTTGGACTGATGGTGAATTATCGCTTCGAGACGGCGTGAGATCTTGGTGATGGGATGATGAGTCGCGTTGAGCTACACACAGTAACGAGGTTTTCATACGCTTGCTTCCAAGGTGAAGCTTCAGCGATTGAAAAGTACGTAGCCACATACTCACTCACCAGCCAGCTGTGTGTCGTCAGGGGACCCACCTCCTGCACACAGACCATCATTACCGCATGCATCACAGAGCCTCCGATGACTCGCTTCTTGACGTGACTTGTCCCACGTTGCTCATGAGAATATCGAGGGTAACATTAGTGGTTTATTTTGGTAATTTCTGTTCAGTCCTTACAACGCATTCAGTCTCCTCCAACCTTAGGTCTTGCCATAATCTCCCCGCCAAAACATCATGAGTACACTAGCTGTCCTTCGCATTTGTCTTGGCACTGGCCTCTGCCGTCATGATGAGTGCCCTCGGCGCATCCTTCTTCTCCATGTACAGCTCGACAAACTGCACCTCCTTGGCATTGTTGAAGCTCTCGTCCTTGAAGAGCTTGTCCAGCTCCTCCTTGGTGCGAACCTGGAATTTCTTGGCAGTCTTGTCGGTGCCGCCGAACACCGTGACCGTGTCCTGGTACTTCCACTGAACAACATCATTGTATCCGGCGTCCATGCCGTGGATGAAACGCTCGATCGTGTAGCCGTCGTTGCAAATGACAAAGCTGTGAATTTTCCGTTAGTCATGTACGCTGGGCGCATAGAGGGTGGAACTCACATTGTTACTCTGAGTTGATGGCGGATCATCGTGGTGACCTCTTGGGCGGTGAGCTGGAATGATCCATCGCCCACAAACAGGATAGTCCGCCTGTCAGTCTGGGCGTCCTTGGAGGCCAGAGCAGCGCCCTGGCAAGCGCCGACAGACCATCCGATGCTGCCCCAGAGAACCTGGCTCAGAGCCGTGACACCACTTGGGAAGGCTGTGTCCCAGATACCGAAATTGGCAGTGCCAGTCTCCGTCACTACAATATCGTTCTTGCGTAAGAAGTGGCCTACTCTGGGCCACAGCCACGCCTGAGTGATTGTCTGTGACGAATCCTCTTCCTTCGTCGGCAGGGCGACAGGGGCATCTGGCGACGGGATGACCGACAGTTTGCTGAGGTCAAGCTTCTCCGTCACTTTACGGAGCACGCCCCTCATCTTGACGCCAGGATATTCCGAGTATCGTACCACGGTGTGTGTGCTGTGGAAGTCAATGGTGTTGAGCTGAGAGGTTCGATACGAGAAGCCGGCTGTGTTGAAGTCGCTCTGTGAACAAATTAGCCAAAATTGATTGCTATGTGGGAGATCCTGTAGCTCACCTTGAGAGTACCGATGGACAAAATCAAGTCCGCCGACTCTATCTTCTCCTTGACTTCGGGGCGCGAGGCCTCGCCGGCGTAGACACCACCGTAGTTGGAGTGTGTCTCATTAATGGCACTCTTTCCCATGGGCGTCACAAAGACGGGGATACCAGACTTCTCCAACAACGCGTGGGTCTCGTCTAGCACTCTGTGACGAATAGCACAGGCGTCCACGAGCATAACTGGCTTCTTGGCAGCGTGGAGGTACTTCAAGACGACATCGACGACGTAGTCCTCCTTTTCTGGGTCGTTGGGTGCCTCCTCAAGATCGATCGGTGTCTTGAGTCGGGCGCCCTCGATCTTCTTTTCCACCATGTCGGTAGGCAACATGATGTAGACAGGCCTGCTCTGAATGTAGCACTGCTGAAGAGCATAATCAATCTGGGTCGCAATCTCGGCAGGGTTGTTGAGCTTGGCCATGTTGCAGGAGATCTGGGAGCTCATGTTGGCGAAGACATTGAAATCGCCATTGCCGAGAGTGTGGTGCAACAGCATACCGTTTCGCTGTGATACGGTGGAGGGACATCCGACAATGTGAACGACAGGAATGTGTTCCGAGTAGGCGCCGGCGAGGGCATTGATGGCCGACAGCTCACCTACGCCAAAGGTGGTCATGATGGCCGAGACTCCCTTGACACGGGCATAGCCATCTGCAGCATAACCTAGGGAATTCCATCAATCGAGCTGTTAAACAACCCTTTTGGTCATGAACTCACCTGCGTTGAGCTCATTGACGCTGCCCACCCATTTGACGCCAGCCTTGGGAAGGTAGTCCAGTGCGACAAGGTTGTAGTCGCCGGGCAATCCGTGAAGTGAGCGGAGCAATCTCGTAGAGTCTCTCTACAGGTAGTAGGCATCCTCAATGCGCTCCCTAGAGCCCTTCCTCGCGAATACCTAGCCATGGCTGGTTCGGGGTGAAGCACAGCAAGAGTTCTGATCTGATGTATGACGCGGGACAGGTAGTATAGCAGAGTGTTTGACGATGTGCGAACCAAGCAGAGCAGAGGTAGGGAGCTCGAGGGGTCTAGGACGTATGGATTTTATAAGGACACTAAAGAGAATGCAGAAAGCTGACGAATGGTCAGTAGCTAGGTAGGAGATAGCTAGGCCGGTCCAATAGATGACGGTAGGACTGGTAAAGTCTGATGGTGGTGTTGACGCCGGGTCACGCCACGTCTGGAGCTGTCTCTGCTCCAGGACAACATGATAGTTTCGGTCCTTCCCGCATCACTCGAAAATTACTCTGGACAGGGACCTGCTCGTAAGACACGCACCGATTCGCTTTATTGTCTGGTAGCGCTGGACCACCAGTCATGCCGAGCTCCAGCATCGGTGGTGGGACAAGCGGGTGCAGCCATGTCTGCTTCACAGAACGAAAGAGGGGTCCTATCGTGGTAGTGATGTAATCGACCCTCCACCACGCCACACAATGGCATCCACGTCCGTAAGCTCCAGATGCGGGCAGGCACCTAGCTGAGCTCCTCCCAAAAGCTCAGCCCACGACATGCATACGGAAGTCATGGTTGGAAGTGGGGCCGTCCGGCTGCTGCTGCCGGTGTCGTTTCCAGGATCCGCCTACATGCACCTGCCAGCGTCCTGACTCTGCCTGCCTAGACTCAACGCCATGCATGGCCCGTAGCCATTGACAAGCGCCATCGCCCATCGCCATCGCCATCGCTACGGGCCCGCCATCTCGGACTTAGTTCGAACCTAGCCCGGCCTTCGTTCTGTATGGGCATTGTCCATTGTGGCCCTGTTCCTGTTCTCCTTTGCCCCCGTGGCAGAACTTTCTCGCCTTTTGTCGGATGCTTTCCCACGTCAAAGCCGTGTCAGATCGGAGGAGTATTGTCGTGCTCATCTACGTCCTATGTACAATGTTCTACAAGCGGGAGTGGTGTGTATGCCAGACCGAGACGCCTCCCAATACCATGATTTCATCGCTGTGCCTTTGACCTCAGTCGCATCGCCCGTCTTTCCACCCAGTCCTCCATCTCTCCTCCCAACGCGAACAGTCGAACTCCTTCTTGCCAAGCTTGCGGTTCACCTCATTGTGTGCCATGCAAAGCCAATTGCCAAACTCCTGCCTACCCTCGACGCGCACCTCGTCCTTCTTGATGTAGCTCTGGAAGTCCTCGGCGCACACCCAGCACGGGTACAGCCTGCTGAACGTCCGCATGAAGCCGCGCAGGTCGTCCTTCTGCGCCGGACTTGGGTTCTCGGGATATGTGGCGGCGATGCTGTGCAGGAGCGTCCACGAGCTGTTCCCCAGGCGCTCTACATCCGGGGGGCAGTCGGCCGGAAGCCCATTCGTCGCTGATGGCGCCGTCGCCGTCGCTGCAGATCCCTTCGTCTTGGGTGTCTTGCCCATCGACGCCCAGAAGGTCGAAGATGTGCATGTTCGGCAGCTGGTCGGTCTACAAGTTAGCGAGTCTGCTTGCAGCGACGAGACAGAAGTGTCACGCGTGGGTCGTGTTGGGGGCACGAACGGCTTTCCGTCAGGGCCAAGAACGATTCCTTTGGGATATTTCGTCTTGGCCTCGTCGGCTCCGGCGGCCGTTGCGCCGGGTGCGGCAGCTGGATTTGTGTCCGCGAGCGTCACGCCACTGGTGTTGTCGTCCCGTCCCGGCTGAGCCATGCTGGAGATGTCCGTAGCAGATTGAATGGGTTCCAAGCGTAAGAAAGTTTCGCAATGTATGTGCCAAAGGGAAAAAGGAGCGTGCTGGCAAGTCTGATCAAAACTATTCCAAAATTTGTAAGCTGCTAAAACCATCGCTGGTTGCTTGTCCTGTCCAGAACATCGTCGCCAGTTCCACGGCGGTCCTTATCGATAAGAAATCCAGAGCTCCAGGACCTAGGCACGTAACCAGGTGCAGCATTCAACGAGTGGGGGATCTGCCGTGAACGGCGAGTGGTGGACCCGGCATCTGGACAGCTTCGAATAATGGAAGAAACCTTGATAGAAGGCTCGCATCTTGACCGCCGCACCATATCACTGCTCCAATCGACAGGACCAGAGACTTGGCCTCCTCTGTACATTGCGCGTCGTCAGCGGTCCGAGTCGAACAGGTATATCCCGCCAACATGAGTGCATCACAAGCAAGTGTCAACGGCGCGGTGCCAATACTGTTGCTCAAGACGAGATCGTCGCCGGGAGATTCGTACGAAGATCTGTTCGAGTCAACCAACGAGGACGGCTGGTCCTTCGAGCCCACTTTCGTCCCCGTGCTGCAGCACACCCTCATCCGAGAGGGCCTGGATGAGGTGCGGACCCTTCTTCAGAACCGAGGCATTCGTTCAGACGAGGGCGCGTCCTACGGCGGCCTCATCTTCACCTCCCAACGCGCCGTCGAAGCCTTCACCAGCCTCGTCGAACAGGGCAAGAGCTCAGGCGCAGACGACGCCGCCTGGCACATCTCCAGTCTGTCCCCGTCTACAGCGTCGCCCCGCGACGACGCGGGGCCTGGTCGCCGGGTCCCAGAACGCCGCCCCTGGCCATCCACGGCTCCCACACCGGCAACGGGGACGCCCTCGCCGCGTTCATCCTCGACGACTACGCTGTGGCCCGCTACCCCGCGCGCGTGCCGAAACCGCCGCTCCTGTTTCTCGTCGGCGAGCAGCGCAGGGACATCATCCCCCGCACCCTCACCGACCCAACCCTGCCGGCAGACCGCCGCATCCCCGTGACCGAGGGTGACCGTCTACGGCACGGGGCGTCATGCCCACGTTCCCCCGACCACCTCGCGCGCCTCCTCGACGAGACGGCATCGCGCCCCGTGCGCTGGGTCGTCGTCTTCTCGCCCACGGGCTGCGACAGCCTGCTGCGCGGCCTGGGTCTCCTCGACGAGGCGTCGGGCAGGGCGCGCCCCGCCGAGGCCAGGGACGGCAGGACCTACGTCGCCACCATAGGGCCCACGACGAGGGACTACCTGCGACGGACCTTTGGCTTTGAGCCGGACGTGTGCGCTGCGACGCCGTCTCCGGAAGGCGTGCGGCGGGCTATTGTCGACTTTACGACGAGCCATTCCGGGTCGAAGGAGTAGCACGATGGCGGGGACAATTGTCCGTCCCGCCTTCTTCTTGAATGAAAACGGAATTAGGCAACTCTAATGCATTCCAATGACCGAACCCGGCGCGCACAAGATGGGCCTGCATCAGCCTTGAATGGGGACGCCTTCGTGCACACGAGCAACTGACAGATGCCTCGTCGAAAATCGTGCCTCGTGATTTGACTATCAAATTGCTCACACTTCGGTTTCATTTTTCACCAGA